CAGGGTGCATGAGGAGCTAACTGCTTGAGGAAAAAATCAGAAGTAAGGGAAACATAAAATCACCTTGCTTTGTATTTTGTATGCTTGTAGTTATGACATAACCTATTTTTTAGGATATGAGGCTAAAATTTGAGGGGCTATTCCTCCTCAACAAGGGCACAACTGTTTAGCATGTACGTCTTAGAGCAGGATCAACCGTGCATGACATGAGGACGTCATCCCAGCATGAGGTGTGGTCTACCATGACATGATAGGATGTCATCCGGATGTGAATATGTTAAGCTCAAACTGATATATCTAAGAGGATTCACACTGTGAATGTAAATTTATGTAGATTAGGATATAATTAGGATGAAAATTTATCCAAGAGATCAAGAACTGAGCCACAGAAGCAGAATATCAAATGTTTGCTATGTCAAATTTTCAAGAACAATAATGGAAATAGAAAGGAAGTGCATAGTATGGATAAAAAGATGTCATTCCATGAGAACCAGAATAGTAGATAACCAATTAGGCTTAGGTTAAAATTGATGTACATGAAGACTTTGTCATGTGTTTAACTAAATGTTTATTACCTTTGCATACTTTGTAGAGAATGTCAGAACTAACAGCATGATGATTTTGGTATTCTGTAGGTGGTTTATTATTATTTTTTTTTAGGTAGACGGTCCCCATTGCTTACAATGGGAATATATAAAAGCATGTATGCATCTTCAGAAGTTTTCTGGAGAGGACTAGGGCAGATTTTGTGTTATGAAATGATGTAAACCAAACATCTTTTTTGACAGTATGGACTTGAATTGATAGTCCGTTGTTTTTCTATTATTCTGTTTTTCTTAATGAATAGAGATTCTACTGTTGTAGTTTATGATACTTGAATTGATAATTACATTTTTTATCCATAGCTAAGTTGTTTTTCAACTCTGATGTTTGTGTTCTCCTTGATATTATCAGAGTTAGATGCACATTCATATATTGTAACACCTTGCAGAAACATGATCACTTTCATATTTTTAAATCTTACTTTTTTACCTACCATATATTATAGATATGAAAATAGCCTTTCATATCTTGTTATGTATGTCATAGATAAGCAAGCCAGTAGACTTCACTTAAATTATGTTTATTTAGATTGTAGTCCTTTATGCTGTCACACTGATCTTATTTAAGGTATATGGAAAATCTTATCTGAAACTCCTACAATTAAAACAAAATAGATCTGTAATATGCATCATTGTTGTTTCAAAATTTTATAGAATGTCAGGCCATTAGACAAACAATATAAATCTGAAATAAATTGTAATCTCAAAATTGTGCTAGATTTGGTATAATGCAGCATCCATAGTAAACTATGCCAAGATATGTGATGGAAATCATTTAACATTAATGTAGGAGAGTAGTACAGTTTAATAGTATTTTTCTTACAAGTCATTTAGAAAACTTCCGCATATATGTTATCTTTTGTTCTCTTATTTCATTGATTTATATGCTTTTACTTTTTTTCTGTATAAGTGTACATTTTAACTTTTCTGTTTGTTTGTTTGTTAGTTTGTTGTTTTCTTTTCCACTCATCGGGGTATGCTTTTACCTCCCAGCAAACATACTCTTTTACTCACATATTCTAGATTTATTGTCACTGATTTTAGTCCAAAGTATATTCCTTAGCTCATGATTTTTTGTCTTTCTTGAATCCATTAAGGAAACCATAATGCTCAAGTAAATATAAGGGAGATATTTATTCTGGTAACGGAAATTTTGGTAGGGCCTTGGAAGTGAAAGTAGGAAGTGTGTAACATCGCCAGAATTTAGGAGTTGTATAAATGACAGAACACAGATGAAGACCAATGATTAACTTTAAGGTGTCATAGAATAAGATTTGGTTAAGGTACTCTGCAATTTGATATTTGAAAGACACCAGCAAATTATGATAGGAGTAGTACATGTTAGTTGTATTTGAAAGAAAGAAGTAGATTCATGTTAACTGATATTAATGTATAGATTTATGGTTTGCTGTGTAGGACTTCTTCACACATTAGGATAAATCTTTCAGCTGTATTCATTTTACCTTATAGCCATGGCGTACTCAAAGGTATGCATGAGAATGAATAGCTTCACAGTTGCAAGCGATATATTTGGCCAGTTTAGGCTCTATCTTTTTCCTCCTCCTCCCTCTTTTCCTCTTCCTCTTCCCCCTTTCCCTCCTCCCCCTCCTCCTCCTCCTTCTCCTCCTCTCCCCCCCTCATTCTTACTCTTGTCCCCCTCCTCCTTCTTCTCCTTCTTCTTCGTCTTCTTCTTCTTCTTCTTCTTCTTCTTCTTCTCCTCCTCCTCCTCCTCCTCCTCCTCCTCCTCCTCCTCCTCCTCCTCCTCCTCCTCCTCCTCCTCCTCCTCCTCCTCTTCTCCCCCCCTCATTCTTATTCTCCTCCCCTACTTCCTCCTCCTCCTCCCCATCCCCATCCCCATCCCCATTTCCTCCTCCTCCCCTTCCCCTTCCCCTTCCCCCCTTCCTCTTCCTCCTGCCCTTCCCCCTCTCACTCCCCCCCTTCCTCTTCCTCTTCCTCCTCCTCTCCTCTTCTTTCCCCTCCCCCCTCTCCCCCTCCCCTGTCTCCTCCCCTTCCTCCTCATACTCTTCCTTTTTCCTCCTCCTCTTCTCCCACCACCTCCTTATCTTCCTCTTTATCCATCTCACTCATCTTTCTTATTTTCCTCCTCCTCCTCCTCCTCCTCCTCCACTTCTTCTTCCTCCTCTTCTTCCTCCTCTTCTTCTTCTTCTTCTTCTTCTTCTTCTTCTTCTTCTTCTTCTTCTTCTTCTTCCTATTCTTCTTTTTCCTCTTCTTTCTATTCTTCTTTTCCTCTTCTTCTTCTTCCTCTTCTTCTTCTTCTTCTTCTTCTTCTTCTTTTCCTCTTCTTCTTCTTCCTCTTCTTCTTCTTCTTCTTCTTCTTCTTTTCCTCTTCTTCTTCTTCTTCTTCTTCGTCTTCTTCTTCTGCTTTTTTTTCTCTTCTCTTCTTTTTCCTCTTCTTCTCTTCTTTTTCCTCTTCTTCGTTCCTTCTTCTTTTTTCTTACCTCTCTCTTCTTCTTCTTCTTCGTCTTCTTCTTTTTCCTCTTTCTTCTTCCTTCCTCTTCTTCTTTTTCCTCTTCTTCTTCTTCTTCTTCCTTCTTCTCTTTTTCCTCTTCTTCTTCCTTTTTCCTCTTCCTTCTTCTTCTTCTTCTTCTTCTTCTTCTTCTTCTTTTTCCCCTTCTTCTCCTTCTTTTTCCCTTTCGTCTTCTCTTCTTCTTCCTCGTCTTCTCTTTTTCCTCTTCTTCTTCTTCTTTTTTTTTCCTCGTCTTCTTTCTTTTTCCTCTTCTTCTTCTATCTCTTTTTTCCTCTTCTTCTTCTCTTCTTCTCTTTTTCCTCTCTTCTTCTTATTACTTCCATGTGCAATCTCTTCTTCTTCATTCCTCTTCTTCTTTCTCTTCTTTTCCCTTCTTCTTCTTCTTCTTCCACTTCCTCCTCCTCCTCCTCCTCCTCCTCCTCCTCCTCCTCCTCTTCTTCCTTCTCCTCCCACCTACTGCTGCTGCTACCTCCACCACCACCACCACCACCCACCACCCACCACCACCACCACCACCACCACTTCTATTACTACTACTATTTGTAGTACTACTACTAGTACTACTATTGCTACTTCTACTGTTGTTACAACTGTTACTACTATTACTACATCTACTACTACTACTATAACTGCTACTGCTACTACTGTTATTACTGCTGCTACCACTCTTATTACTACTGTTACTACTACCACTACCGCCAATATTTCCATTACTACAGTTAGTAGTACTACTATTTCTACTACTACTACCGCTACTACTATTATTATTACTATTACTTCTGTTACTGCTATTGCTATTACTGTTACTATTGCACTTATTGCTATTACTACAACAACAACAACTACTACTACTACTACTACTACTACTACTACTACTTTCTTTTCTTTGTTTGTCAACTCTACCTTTTTGTTTACCGTCTTGGCGCCCATGTGAAAGATATGATACATCAGATATTTCTCTCGGGTTATAGGGCAAAATTTCTCCACTTGTAACCTTAGTTCCTTAATATGATGAAGGGACTGCACTCATTCCATAATCAAAGAAATAGCCAGTCGTCGAAGGGAGGTTGCTCATTCATGAAACTGGACACGGCACAGGTCGTTCAGAAATGTTACTACTTGCTTCATTATGTTGTGTTATATTTCAGTACACTCATACACTTTTAGATAGTATGTCCTAGATAGCATATCCCAGCCATTCTCTCCTAAGTTTCGTTAACGTACAGAATGTTATGGAGACTTGTATTGCACAGTGGATTATATCGGATCTTTGTAATGGATGATATTGATCTTGCAGTAGGGTCGCATTTAATTGTTAGTCCAACTTCTAAACGGTATTGCATTATTATCAACTAACTGAAAATTTCAACTTCTGCGTTTCATTAATATGCAAGTAGCATTCATGCATTTATTATACGCGCATGAAAATGTAAATACAGTTTACATTTGAAATTAATGTGTACTTGACAAATTAACTAGCGGTGGTCACGTCAAGGTCAAATTCTGTCAGATGATTCTCTGGGAAAGTATTCGAAACTTGTGTTATCTATTAAAACATCAGTCTTCGAATGACTCCAAACACAACGTGTCAGCATCGTTTCTGTAGACATCCATACACTGTTTGTTTTACCTGTGTGACCTTCAGCAAAACGGTGAAGAAACGGAACCATCCTTGCTCATCGTCATGCACACCCACCTCTATGCATGCAAAGTCCTTGTTATTTGTTTACCCCCCCCCCTCCCCCCCCTTGTGCATTCTTAGTTCGCGTCACCCTCGCACCCCCCCCCCCTCGCCTCACTCTCTCATGAGTTTCACACGCGCATTCACACCCACACACACAGAAGACAGACAGCCATGTGAAAGAAGTCCGATTATAAGAGCCACCTTCCCCCCCTTCCCCCCCTTGCAG